TTCTGCCAATGTTGAAGAAAAGGGGGTTTTGCATCTAGTATCTCATTTTCACCAGCGTCCCTTGGTTTACCAATGAGATCGGAGATTTTTTATGTTTAGTTGTTTCTCTGTATGTATTATGCTTATTTTTTCTGAAGGGCTAATCATATATCTTGCCAGTTTTTATGCTGGAGTTTTGTTTATGGTGGAATCTGAAGTTTTGATTGCTTTTAAATTTTTATTTTATTTTAAATTGACAATAATTGTATATATCTGAGAACTACAATATGTTTCAATAAATGTGAATGCTATGGAATGATCAAGCCCTAATAATTAGCATGCCCCTCACCTTAAATATTATATTTTTTGGTAGTGACAGTGCTTACAATACCCTGTTAATTATTATGATTTTTTTAAATTTTTTTTTACACAAAGGGAGCACAACTTTTCCTTTCTCTGGTTGTACATGATGTAGAGTCACACCATTCCTGCAATCATACCCGTACACAGGGATAATTATGTCCATCTCATTTCTACCATCTTCCCCCCATACACTCTTCCTCCCTTCCCTCCCCCCCACCCCCACTCGCTTCCCTCCCTTCCCTCTCTCCCTTCTGCTCCATCCAAAGTCCCTCCATTCTTCTCTTGCCCCTAGCCCATTATGGATCAGTATCCATCCACTTATCAGAGAAAACATTTGGCTTGGTTTGGGAGGGATTGACTTACATTGCTTAGCATGATATTCTCCAACTCTGCCCATTTACCTGAAAATGCCCTAATTTCATTCTTCTTTAAGGCTGAGTAGTATTCCATTGTGTTTATATATCTATTAACTACTTTTAAATGTACAACACATTATTATTAACTGTGGTCATTGCACTGTGCAATGGAACACCAGAACATTTTCCTACTATCTAAATTTGAACCTGTGGGTTGAAGTCACCCCTTTCCCTACTCATCTCTGCCCATCTCTGGTGACCATCATTCTACTCTCTCCTTGTATGAATTTGTATTTATTTTTTTAAATGAAGGATATTTATCTGTTTGCATGTTAAAATATAACCAACATCTTTTCCCATGGGGATATAGCTCTTCTGTCGTACATTCACTCAATTAGCTGCTCCAATGCCATTATGAACTAAGCCATTCTTTCCCACACTATTTTAACAGTTATAATGTCATACTGAAGGGAAATGTTTTCTATATATATTTGTTTATTTTCCAGGAATATCCTGGCTTTCCAATACATGCTTAGTTTTCTAAATAAGTTTTATATATTTTCTGAACAATCAGATTTGATTAGAGTTGTATTTATAAGTTAACTTGGGAAAATCATCTTTCTGTTTTGTCCCTTAATATCCAAATGCTCATTACTTACATAGTATTTTCCTTTTCTTTTATGATCGTTGGCAATTTTAGGTCTTGCACATCTTTTGTTGTTTATTAGTGGTATGTAATATCTTTCGTATTATCAAAAGATGCAAATGTATATAATTGGCTTAATTCCTTTTTTCCTGAAATACTTTCTGCGGAGTTTTCAAAGAAGTTTATGGTGTGGTAAACAGAAAAGTTACTCCTTGTCATTAGAAACTCTTAGAATTTTTCTTTTACTTTTGAGCCTTTATAAGCTAAGATCTTTTGTCTTTCTTAAATTATGGAGCATTATTGATCATTATTTCTTTAATTATTTTTTCCTCCCTATTTTTTCTCTCTCTTTCTGAAACCCCCAGTACATAGACAGACACTTGGGCTTCTAATCTTCAAAAAAATTAACTTTGGGGCTGTGTTTTCCAGATCTTCACTTCTCCCCAACACTTTTGAGGAGACTTCTTTGCCCTGAACCTCCAAATTACCAAGTCCTTCTTTGACTTTACCCATAAAGCAATGCATCTAATCTATGCCTTAATTCAATAATTCTAATATTAATACCCAATGTTTCTACTTAGTTATTTTTTATAACTCTTCTTGCCTGATTTTTCTTACCAATATTCTGACTTATATGCTTACAGATGTATGTTACACTTCTTAATGATTAATAATTTCATTCTTAACTATGGTACATCCATATTTTGTTGTCATCTGATTATTTTTTAATGCCAACTAAGCACATCGAGTGTCCATTTTACCTCAGTGACTTCAGCTCTCTTGCCTGCAGGTGTTCTGGGGCAGAGAATAAGGCCTTCGCATGCATTGCTTCTGCTGCGTCTGGTAAGAGAGGTACACACTGGGACAGGGAGCCAGAGGATCACCGGATGGACGTGACCACTGTCCCAGGCATTTCATTATTCAAAGACCTGTCTCCTCCTGGGTCTCATTTCCCAACTGTGAAGGACAGAGGAAGACAGAGGGTAGAGGGCAGCTCAGAGATGGACCGGCCCTCCAGCTCCTGTTCCCATCCTCACTGCTGACACCAGCTTGCCTTTGCACTCTGCTTTTCGGTGTCCTGGGCTGATGCTGTCATGTTTCTCTCCTGAAGTGATGAGAAGTCGCGGCAGGAGTCCTTGCCCACAGTGGAAACGAGAATGGAAAGCCGGAACCTTTGCTCAAGCCCACACTTGGTCTTCTGGTCCACCCCAGGCTGCTGCCACTGTCTCCACAGATGACTTTGTCCTCCCAGAAGTTTTCTTAAAATCGTGTTTTCATTTTCCAAATCCAACACTTTCTTTTTACTCTGTGATAATCTCATTGGTAGGATGGAGGAGAGAGCAGTAGCCCACACTATTCTGCTATCTTCTTGGGACCCCAATACATTTTACATTTAATTATTGCTGATTTACAGCATTACCGATTTTGGAATACTTATTTTGTAAGATGCACCCTTTCAATGACCCCTTTCAATGGTTCTCATCATTTTTTCAGCCTCCCCAGTATTCACATTGGTAGTATACATTTTTCTTAATTAATAAACTTCATTTTTTAGAGCAGTTTATGATTATAGAAAATTGAGCAGATAGTACACTTTTAAGAATGTTTTTTTTCATACTTTGCATACAAGTCATTCATTAGCTATTTATTTGGAAAATATTATCTCCCAGTCTTTGTTTTTGTTTTTAATTTTAAAATTATTTTAGCAGCAAGCCTTTGCGACCAAGTGGGTACATTTCCCTCCTTCAATTATTCAGAAGACTAGACCTCTTGAAAATGTAAGTGGGGAAAAAGTATATTTTATATACTGAATACATAATGTTAATATCTGTTAAGAGTAGAAATTCTGGATTCAGAAAAATAATGTATGTGTAAAGTAAACAACTTTTCATTGGCATTAAAAAAATAAAATTATTTTAGCAGTGTCTTTTGCAGAGCAGATATTTTCAATTTTAATGAGGCCCACATTATCAGTTTTTTTCTTTCGTAGAACATGCTTGTGCTCCTGACATAAATAGGCCCTGTGTATTGATTAAAATGCTCCCAGTTGTTGCCCATTACATCAGGCTAGGACAGTTATCCCAAAGCCAACAGACACTAAGCTCAAATTCTTACACATCCAGTTGCTTTAAATATGGTCAAATAAACAGTTTTCTAGAGCACACCTACTATGCGTTCTCCATGAAACTGTATCCAATATTTGTTAAATACAAACGAGACAAAAACTGCAGCTATGAAAGGCCACCTCTGCTGATCTTTGGAGCTCTCTCCCTCAGGGACTCCTCACCTCTCTGCTAGGTTGACTCCTCTCAAGTGTCCCTTTCCCTCTCCAAGAGGCCCCTCCCTTTTCCTAAGGCATGGTGGCCTGTGCCACTGTCTCTGAAAGGTCTTTTGCTGTGAGGCACTTCCCCTAGGAGGTGTCCAATAAAGCTTGCCGGTACATCGCTGCTTCTTACAGACCCGTGTCTTCCTTGATCAACCCCCTATCCTGCAGTTGATCACAAGCTCATCTGAAATATCATTGCTGAGCCCAATATCACCGAGGTTATCTTCTATGTTATCTTCTAGAAGTATAGTTTTGCATTTTATGCTTTGATCTGTGACCCATAATTTTGTGAAAGTCGTAGGGCCAGCATCTAGATTTGCTTTTGGGGTTATTTTACACATGCTTATTCCATGATAGGGATTAACTGGGTGGTAACTGTAGGCAGGAGGGTATGGCTGGAGGAGGTGGGTCCCTGGAGGCATGCCTTTGGGGTACATATTTTGTCCTTGTTGAGCAGAGCTTTCTCTCTACTTCTTGGTGCCATGTCCTGAGCTGCTCTTCTCTGTCGTGATATTCTGCATTACCACAGGCCCCAAGGAATGGAGCCAGCCATCTATGGACTGAGACCTCAGAAACTGTGAAACCCAACATAAACCCTACCTCCTCTAAAACTGATCTTGTCAGGTCTTTTGGGTGTGGATTTACTTCTGGGTTTTCTCTTCCAATGCGCTGATTTCACTGTTCTTTTTACCAATACTACACTGTCTCGATCATTGTGGCTTTGCTGGAGGTTTTGAAATAGGGTAGTGTCAGTCCTCTGACTGTTATTCTTCCATGTAGGATTCCCTCTTCTGGGTCTTTTGCTCTTTGCACAGAAACTTAGAATCAGTTTACTGATATCCACAAAACAACTAGCTGACATTGCAGTACACTTGTATCAGCAACATCTCTCTCTCTCTCTCTCTCTCTCTCTATGTGTGTGTGTGTGTGTGTGTGGTCTTGAGGACTGAAACTGCCTCATGTATGCCAGCAGACGCTCTACCACCGAGCCACACCCCCAGCCATCTCAAAACATTCTTAACAAGCTATCACTGTTCTAGTGGGACCGAATAGTTTCCCAGTTAATTCTCTTGGGTTTTCCTGTCTCCTCCTTTCTCAGGTTACCAGTTCTCACTTCCACGTTGTTGCATTGGCTAGTGCCTTCAGAGTAACATTAAACACAAGTTGCTGTAGGCATTCTCTGTTGCTGCTCATCTTCTATTGGATAATGTGCTTATTACTTCACATGTGAGTTTGACATTGCCACACGTTCCAGGCAGACATTTTCATCCTGTTTCGTCAGTAACCTTCTTTATGTACTTCTTTTTTAAAATTGATATCGTTTTTTATTCTGTGGTACTGGGGATCGAACCCAGGGCCTCATGCATGCCAGGCAGACACTCTACCACTGAGCCATAGCCGTATTCCCAGCCCCATCTTTCTGTGCTTTCATGGAGTAATTTCTTTTTTCTCAATCTCATCCAATAGATGTCTTTTATCAAGTACTGTTTTTGCATCCCTCAAAATGACTGTGGATCGATGCTGTCATATGAACATAAACATATGTCAGCTTCTCAATCTTGAACTCTCCTTGAGTTCCTAGTTCAAGTTTTTCTTAAATTTATCTGGGGAAGCTGTTATGGTAGTGTACTCAGGATTTGACTTAATGTCTTTCTTCTTTAATACACACACACACACACACACACACACATATATACATACACTGAGGATTGAACTCGGGACACTCAACCACTAAGCCACATCCCAGCCCTATTTTTCATATTTTATTTAGAGATAGGATCTCACTGAGTTGCTAAGCACCTTGCCATTGCTGAGGCTGGCTTTGAACTCATGATCCTCCTGCCTCAGCCTTCTGAGCCGCTGGAATTACAGGCATGTGCCACTGTGCCCAGCTTCTTCTTTAATATTTTATACTTATATTCATAAATGAGATTGGCTGAAGTTTTTTTTATATAATCTTTGCCTTTCTATATATCCTCAGTTTAAATAGAACAATTATCTCTTCCTTGATAGGTTGAAAATGTGGTCTTTAAACCTCTCTGAATTGTTGCTTTGATAGGGATTTATTCTCTAATATAAATCTTCCAATTTGTTCTCTGATGAATGTCTATTAAGGATTTTAAAAAATGAGTTTATATTCAATTGTATACATTTCACCTATATCAATGACATTTAAAACTGGAACAAGATACAGAATTATCACATGGTTTAGAAAATCTCCCCTGATCTCTTTTTATTTCCCCTTTCTTAACTTTCTATTGTTGCTTTGCCTCTTCCTGATTTAGATTTCCCAAGGCTCAGGTTTTGAATTTGCTTTCAGTCAATTATTTTATTTTTTCCTTTTATATTTTTCTAAGTCTTTCCTCCTGTATCTCTAGATTCTTATTTCATTTCTTTATAAGACAGCATAGTTCATTTGCATTTATTACCTTATGTCTAGTAAGGAAAGCACCAAAAGATGTAGCTTTTTCCCGAACACAACTTATCCATAGCATTCAATTTTTGATATGAAATATTCTCATTGTGATCAATTTATTTCCCAAAATATGGGAAAGAAATATACTCCTTTCAGAAAAATAAAAAGAACAAAACAAAAATTACCTGTAGTTCCACAATATATGATATCTTTTATTTAGATTCAACAATTTTTTTTATTAATTTCTGTATGTCAAGACCAGTAATAATCAAAGTTAAAGGGTAAACTGGGAATATCAGTACCCTTCATATAAAAACGGCACCTGTAAAGCTTTAGGAAAACATAAAAGACTCTAATAGAAGAGGCAGGTGCTTATTCAGGTGCTTCACAAATGAAAAAGCAGCAGGCCCCAAACCATATTTTTAAAAAATCAATTTGACTTAGAAAACAAAGAAATGTAAATTAAAGCTACAGTGAGAAATTGTTTTGGGGGGGGCTTTAAATTAGCAAAATGTTTTTCCTTCAACTATAACTACAAAGTTAGCAAAATTGGAGGGAATAGACTCTTATTTTTGATAAAATTAAAAATGGGAGGGCTAGATCTGGAGCTCAGGGGTAGGGCTTTTGCCAGCATGAGTGAGTCCCTGGGTTCTATCCCCAGCACTGCAAGAAATTAAAAAAAGAAAACCATAAACATGGTTATATTGTAAGAAAATAACTAAAAATTTGCCAAAGATTTAACTAAAAAAAGTTTGCCACATGTCTAAGATATGTGTCTTATTTGCATTTGAGAAAACGTATGGATATCTCTATTATGGGTAATTTCCCTCTTCCTCTTTCTCTTGCTTTTTTATTGCAAAGTTTAGGAAAAAGCAAAGATTAGGACACATTAAATTTACCCTCCTTATCTTCCTACACAGATTTGGTAATCAGATGGTCACCATGGCTAGGTCCCCCAGGGACATTTAGAAGAGTGGAGAGAGCACAAATCCATCAAAAGGAGGTGACAGTCTGAACACTAAGAGTATACAGATCCAAGAGCAGATAACTGTTTGGGAAAGTGTATGGTCATTTGAATTTCTAAGAAATCATACCAAAATTCTCTCCCTACCAGTTTTCAACAATAATAACATTTTTGCAGGACAGTCATGTACGGTCAGCACAAAGATGCTGATTGTGACACAATTCAGTGATCTTACATTTCCCCAATTTTGCTTGTACTCAAACTTGTGCAAGTTTTCAGTACAGTTTCACCATTTATGTTTGCATATCCACAACCAGTCAAAACACTCACCGTCCACCAAGAGGACCTTGTGGTCTTCTTGATATCAATACCCACCTCCCTCCTGCCCACCCCCCCTCGCCCCCAGTCCCACTAGCAGAGAAACCACCAATCTATTCTTCTTTTCTAAAATGTTGTCATTTCAAAAACACTTTACAAATGCAATCACACAAGATGTGACTTTTTTTGGATTGGTGCCCCCTCACCCAGTCACAGTTCTCTGGAGATTTTCCAAATTTTCTTGTGTCTCAAAATTCATTCCTTTTTTTATTGCTGAGTAGGGTTCCACGGTGTGGACATACCACGGTTTGTTTCACAGTTACCTGTTGAAGGGCCTCTGGACTGATTCCGTTTTTTGGCTGTTGTAAATCAACTGCTGTGAACATTGGTGTGCAGGTTTTATGTAATCATTACTTCATTTCTCTGGAATCGATGCCCAAGGCTGCCATTTCTGGGTCATACGGTCATTGTATTTTTAGTCTTTTAGGAAACTGCCAAACTGGCTGTACCACTCTAAATTCCCATCAGTGATATGCAAGTGGACTGGCTTTTCCATGTCCTCACTAGCATCTGAGGTCTCACTTTCTTATTTTAACCATTCTGATGGGTATGCAATTTCATACCCATAGTAAACTCAGAAATAAAAGAATATAAAATCATGACATTTGCAGGTAAATGGATGGAGTTGGAGAAGATGATACTAAGTGAAGTTAGCCAATCTCCCCAAAACAAATGGCAAATGTTTTCTGTGATATAAGGTGACTGACTCATAGTGGGTTAGGGAGAGGGAGCATGGGAGGAATTCTAGATAGGGCAGAGGGGTGGGAGGGGAAGGGAGGGGGCAGGGGGTTAGCAATGATGGTGGAATGTGATGTACATCATTATCCAAAGTACACGTATGAAGACATGAATTGGTGTGAACATACTTGATGTACAGAGATATGAAAAATTGTGTTCTATATGTGTAATAAGAATTGTGATGCATTCCGCTGTCATGTATTTAAAAAATAAAAGCAATTTTTTAAAAAAGAATAGAACTTTGGAGTGACCTGCACAGTATGAAGACTTACTGTGCAGCTACAGTAATCAGATAATCAAGCCACTGTGGTGTTGATGGAGGGACAGACACGTAGGTCAGTAGAACAGAACATGCAGAGTTCAGACCCATGAGAACATGCTCAACTAACTTTTTACATATATCAGAAGCAGATTAATGGAGAAAGGATAGAGAAACTGTATAGTAAACAGCACTGGAGTAAATGAACATCCAAAGTTGTGCTAGCTAGCTTTCCATTACTGTGACAAAAATACCAGAGAAAATCAACTTAAGGGAGGGAAAGTTGGTTTTGGCTCATGGTTTCAGTTCATGGTCCCTTGGCTCCATTGTTACTGGGCCTGTGGTAAGAAAAAAACATTGGGGGCAGGGGTGGGCACTTGGTGGAGCAAAGTAAATTACTTCATGGTGGCCAGAAAGCAGAGAGAGAGAGGGAGAGACGGGGTGGGGGAGAGTGGTGGGGAGAGAAGGAGGAAAAACTGGGGGACAAAAAAAAAAACCCTTAAGGGAAACTCCCAGTGACCCACTGCCTCCAAGTAGGCTCCATCTCCTGGTTCCCACCATCTCCCAATGGCCCATTAAGCTGTAATCCACAAATGCAGTGGTTTGTTGTGAGGTCAGACCTTATAACCTGATCACCTCCAAGGCTCACCTCGGAACACAGGAACACAGTTGCTTTGGAGACCCATTTTTTTTTTTTTTTGACATATGAGGGGTTGGGGATATTTCAGGTCCAAACAATAACCAAAGAAAAATGACATGAACCACAACCTCAACCCAAGGCCTTACACAAACATTCACAACAAATGAATTAGGGACAAAGTGGAAAATGTGAAACTATAAAAATCTTAGGAAAAAAAATAGAAGAAATTACTTGGAATCTAAGACTAACTAAAAGACTTTAGACTTGGTACAAAAAGCACAATCCATATGAGAAAAAACTGATAAGCCGGATTTGTAAAAATTTATTTATTTTTTTGCCAAGAAAAACCATAGGAAAAGGATGAAAAAAGATTAGCTACATTCTGAGAGAAAATATTTGCAAACTATATATTCAAAAAAGGACTAGCAATCAGAACATATTTTTAAAAAAATCTTCCAAAATCAGCAATTAAAACTCAAAAACCAATCCAATTAGGAAATGAGAAAAAACACATGAACACTGACCAAAATATACAAAGAAAGTTTTTAGTTGGATTCCATCCCATTTATTGATTCTTGGTTTTAATTTTTGCGCTATAGGAGTCTTATTAAGGAAGTTGGGGCCTAATCCCACATGATGGAGATTAGGGCCCACTTTTTCTTCTATTAGACGCAGAGTCTCTGGTTTAATTCCTAGGTCCTTGATCCATTTTGAGTTAAGTTTTGTGCATGGTGAGAGATAGGGGTTTAATTTCATTTTGTTGCATATGGATTTCCAGTTTTCCCAGCACCATTTGTTGAAGAGGCTATCTTTTCTCCAGTGCATGTTTTTGGCACCTTTGTCTAATGTAAGATAATTGTAATTTTGTGGGTTAGTCTCTGTGTCCTCTTCTCTGTACCATTGGTCAACCTGCCTGTTTTGGTGCTAATCCCAGGCTATGTTTGTTACTGTTGCTCTGTAGTATAGTTGAAGGTCTGGTATAGCGATACCACCTGCTTCACTCTTCCT